ACACACACACACACACACACACACACACACACACACACACACACACACATATATATATATATATATATATTTGCAATCCATGATCTATAGTACACAAAATTCGTGCTTTCCATTGATATTCCTCAACAACCCAAAGCAGAGGGACCCAGTAGATGATCACAGCGTTTTGGGAATTTTGTAAGGAAAAACGTTAGACTGGAGATGATTCTAAAGGCAAATAAATTCAATTTTTTCAACCCCATATTCAGATTAGGTCCATAAATTCGATGACGGACACGACTTTGTTAGAGAATCCCTTCAAAACAGAAGGGCAACCTCATTGTACTGTATCATCAATAAATGTTGCAACAGCCACGAATAACTTCGATGGTTTACAGCGGATGAGTGAAGCGAATGTGAAGTATAGGCAACAGTGATCGGGCGATCTCTGTTATCGTCGCATCACCTTGGAGGCTGCGTATTAGATTTACGCCAGTGTCGTCCAATTTTCTCACTTCATTGTTCCAGATAACAGTCATTTTATTAGCCGCTTTATACTTCCAGAAAATTTGTTAAGGGATTACTTTTATTAATATTTCTGCGATCCAGGAGATAACTCAAGACTCTTCGACCGAGAATCACTGAAGGCAACGTGATGACGGCAGTGCAGCGCCTCAATATGTTCACCGGTGGATGCCGTCTTTGGCTCTTACTGAAACGCCTACCAATGACTAGCGTTTATAGCCTCTTTTGAGGTTGTTCTACTCACTACTTTATCGTGGCAAGAATGTTTCGTCGATCTGAGGGTACCAGAAGCCCATCTCCGGAACTGTAACTAGATTAACGCCAGTTACTAGATTGTCCAGGGGATCGGATAACTCTGTACGGAACGTCGTGTAGCCTGCTCCGAAGAGAACCAGACATACGAATGTAGTAGACATTCTGGACGTGGTAGCTTCGACGAAAGGTATACGGTTTAACAGATTGGACACTAGTCCTAATGTGCTGTGTAGATGAGGCGCCACTCTTTCTTATTGTGCGTTAGACATTCTATGAATGAAGACCCTAAAATCAAGCTCCTACCATTCTGGATTAAGCAACCGAGTGATATAGCCTACAAGACAAATATAACCACGGAAACAAACATGGGATTCACTCAACAATTGCCATTTCATTCATTGCAGTTTCTATGAATTACAGTGTTGGTAACTCTCCGATTTCAGCGTGGTAGTCCAACACAACGCCATGAGATCGACAGCTGACTCTAGCACCTAACAAAGAGAAAGCTTAAGAGCAAAGTGCAATCAAAGGAAGAATCATTTGAGCTGAGTTTCCAAATCTACTCGGCAGACAGGTGTATTATTGGCTAGAAAAGCATCTTCAGCGTGTGTTCGTGTTTGGGACATAGTATTGATCGTCTACACGTGACTAATACAACCATGTGCTTGCCGATTTCGTTTGTATTAAAGTGCAAATTCAACTGGAATACAAAGAAAGCACGTGAGCGTACAAGAGTGCAGACATGAAAATGTTCGTCTGATTGAAGCTGATGATGCTGGGTTGAAGTCTGTTGGTGACTTTCCGAGATAACATTATTCAAAGTGGGGGAAGGGGTAAGCAAACAGCAATCACATAATTATCTGGGGCGTAGCTAGGTTGGATTGAATTTTCCTTTCCATTTCTTTAGCTCATTAACATTAATCTGTAACCTTTAGTCTGCCTATGGTTCGCTTACCTCTCATGCCAGGAGATGCAGA